GAAGATTCCTCTAAAATGATTTTTTTAATAAGCTCCATTACTTTTTTTTTTTCCTTTTTAATCTTTTACATATATTCGATGAAAACAAACACGTTGGTTTATTTATCATGTGAATTGCCAAACTACTTAACCATCTTTTTATACCAGTAATCTACTACATGTAACGTGTGTTTGGTACAAGAGTATCAAAAAGATTACTGATAAATCTTCTTCGGTAAACGTCAATTATCATGTTTGGTAGAAATAACAAAAATCAGTTCCAGATATTCAAAGTTTATCGATAATTTGATTTACAAAGAAAAGACTCAGATTATCAAAAATAATATAATAATTCAAAATTCCAAGTAAAGAGAAAGCACAACAATAATTTTTGAGACAAAAATACCTCAATACACATCGAAACCTAAACTGAATCTATCAATTACAAAAGTAAAAATAGTTTGAAGTTATTTTTGTAAAATAACCTCATATTCCAAATCATATTTCGTTCTAAACCAAACATGGAATCAGTAATCTTTACCCAATATTTTCGGTAATATTTTGTCCAACCAAACACTTTTTTCGTAACATTTCAAGTAAACTCAATTTTTAGTGTATTCTCAATAATCGTAATTCTCGGATACTAAAAAATTTATCTTGTACCAAACACACCCGTAAGTTATACATTTAATGAGAACTCATCGCTCCCCAACTCTCCCCGTGTAGTAGTTGGAGTGGGAATCTAATACAAACAATAGGGGACGTTTGGTTGAGAGAGAAATTGTAGAAAATGGTAGGAAAATGAGTTTGGTAGGAAAATATAAAAAAAATTGTTTGGTTGAAAAAAATTTAACCGAAAAAATTAGGTAACTTTTATAAAGTCTATGTTTGGTTGTAGATAAAATATAGATGTGAAAAAAAGTTAATATTATGAAAATATCCCTGTTTATAATTTTTTTTTGAAAAGCATGACCAGTGTCTTTTTAGTTTTTTTTTTTGTGGCTTCCATTTTAATTTGGATACTAGGTAGGAGGATTAGTTGGTCGGTTGACATCCTGCATAGTTTATTTGGCCGGTTAACATGCAATAATACCATGTATCAAGAGGGATTATTTGACTGGGTTTCTCAAACAGATACCTATGCAAATTGTTTCGGTGGGATAATCATTTAGGTAGCCATATATTCCAAATGTTTAAACCAAATAAAGGCATCAAATTATCCCACTTCTCAAATATCCATCTATCTCAACATAATCCTCCAACCAAACACCCCTAATGAATTAACATGAAAGACTTTTTTTTTTTTTTTTTTTTTGTAAATAACATGAAAGACTTTTATCTATGCGTATATATCAAGTTGGAAATAAAATTGAACTGAAGTGTTTTTTTTTCTTTTTTGTTGTTGGTCCTTTTAAGTCCGGTATTTTAATACTAGAGATATTATTGGTATTTGGCTATGGGGTAGGCTTCATAGAGTTAATTATCCTTTTCTTTTCACGCCATGATGTCCAATATGTGGGGTATCCGATAGATTAAAGTTTGCAAGATTGTAGCCATTGCTATATGCCTTTCCCTAACTTAATAGTTATATCAACTTAGCATGGTTGCTGACCTGTTTGATGGCTTTGGTCCTTTAATCTAGCTAGATAGATAATGACTAGTGGACATAGGTGCATCGTAATATGGTATTGAGAATGGGGTCTGCTTGATTGCTAGAAATTGGAACTTGCAATTTAGAGCCTCCCCTTTCATTCCAAGTTAAAGAAGAGGAGAAAGCACTATTCCATAACCATTATCAGGCTATCTTTAATATATGAAACAGTTACCTTTATTAGTAGTTGAGATGGCCCACATCCCTCCTAGATGCTTATCCCGACCCACACGTAAACATATTTATGACACATCCATCCCCACAAGGTATGGTTGTCTCTTTGAGGATTTGCCACGAGTATCCAACATCATGTTCTAGATAAAAATTTTCTTAAAAATGGGAAAAATAAAAATAAAAATCTGTCATCAATACTCGAATTTCGTCATTTTATTACTTAAGTTATTTAACTGTTAAACTTAAACCTTTTTTGCACTAATATATACACACAACACACACACTTTTTCAAAAAAAATTTAAACATAAAACACTGAACTATACGAATAAAAAATAATTGGCCAATTTAAGCTATCAAAGATTGTATGAATGTTTGGGAGTGATATAGGAAAACCTCCCTCAATAATAACGCTTCAACAAATAACGGCAATACATGCGAATGAATTATCTCATATTTTGTTTTTGAGTAATATTTATGTAGTTATTACAAATAAGTTATTTGTATTTATGTTATTTTGAATTAAAAAATTAAGTAATTATATTTGTAAAGACTATAATTCTAAAATAAATTAAAATACAAAAACACAATGATTTTCTTCCCAAAACGACGTCATATTAAATTTACTGCAGATAACTTATCTGCATTAATTACAGAAAAGCGAACTCTTTGTTTTAATATGATTAGATGATGGAAAATATTTCATCCATTTATTGTCACAATTTTAATAATAAAATTCAGAAAATATTATTTGTGACTTTACTGAAAAACAAATTTTTTATCATTTGAATCAATAATAATTGTTTTATATTTTGCATTTCATATGGTGATGTTAAAACAAAATTTGAGAGGATATTTATATCGTTGGTGTGTGTAGCTTGAACTGACATCGACCCTTAAAAAACATTATGCACGTGTATGGGCACGAGTGTACCACGCACGTGTTTGTACGGGGTGGATAAGTGTGGATAAATACCGTAATAATTTATCAAGTAATTGGACTTTTTTATATTATTAACGTATTTATTATCATCAGAAATCAGCACGTGGATTCATGCCGAGCGTCTGAATCTGAATGGACGTGGCATTGTAACAGTGTTTGTAATTCCACGAGACTCACGTTGCAGGGCTTTTTGACCCTTATAACCCTTTACTAATAATTAATTACCAAATTGACTTTCATTATAAACTATTTCAAAAATTTAACCCCCTCAAAAAACATAACAACAATCTGCCCCTGTTTGACCGTTGACCACGAAGCCTACCCGGGTACATCCCTACCTACCCGGGTATCTTTTGAAATTTTTTGTCTACCCGAGTAGAGAAGTGTGTACCCGGGTATTGTTCTTGATTGCTTGAATTATTTACCCGGGTACGGATGAGTGTACCCGGGTAAAAAGCACAAACCAAATTAAAGCAATGAACATTATAATTGACTGCATTCGTTTCCCATTAAATTTTACCACCAAGATTTAAGTCAATCTATCCTTTAGCCTCACCAAGTTCAACATCCTTGAGAGGACTCTTTTCTACTCCATCCTTCAATAGTCTAATTCTTCTTTCGTCAGGCTGTTTTTCACTTGAGAAAATGTCTTTGCATTGGACTGCTTTTCAGCTTCCATAGCCCAACTGTAAATTATCATACCAAAAACTGTGATAATCATTCCCATTATATTCTTGAAAGTTAGCTCTGAATCAAATAGCAGCCATCCCAATGTCAGAACACATACTGTTTTCATGTGGCCTAAAACCTGGAAGGAAACAGCTGAAAAGCGCCCGATGCAAAGGTACTGGCTCACATTGCAAAATACAGCTAGCAAACATGAAAGAAGAATGCATAACTGCAGATATTTAAAAAAATAAAAATAAAAGAAATGAATAATCCAACACTACATTATTAAGGATAAATACATAGGGAATACAACAGGTTAAAGTTAATAAGGGAAAAGGAGGACCACTTACCTCAGAATCTTTTGATATAAGAACAAGATTTATCCGGGTACACTCATCCGTACCCGGGTAAATAATTCAAGCAATCAAGAACAATATCCGGGTACACATCTCTCTACTCGGGTAGACAAAAAATTTCAACAGATACCCGGGTAGGTAGGGGTGTACCCGGGTAGGCTTCGTGGTCAACGGTCAAACAGTGGCAGATTGGTGTTATGTTTTTTGAGGGGGTTAAATTTTTGAAATAGTTTATAATGAAGGTCAATTGGGTAATTAATTATTAGTAAAGGGTTATAAGGGTCAAAAAGCCCACGTTGCAGCTTGTATGGTTTTTTTTTTTTTTTTAACGAATAATATTTTTATTTTTGTGGTAGAAATTGAGCGAATTTCATTAATTTATTTTATCTTTTCCTATTAAAACGGATCCATTCTATTCGAATTTTTTTTTTCATTTTAAATAATATAATTTTGTGATATTTTTAATAAAATTACGTCATTTTTTATTTAATCAGGATGAAAAAGAAAATGGAAAAGAGAGATTAAAACACACCAAAATGATATATTTTATTAAAAATAATATAAAATTATATTATTTAAAATAGCAAATACTTTTTTTTTATACGATAGAAAGTATTTCTACAATAAAAATAAAAATATTAATCTCTTTTCTTATATAATAAAGAGGGAAAATATTTTTACTATAAATTTTTTTCCTACCAACCACATTATATATATAATTGGGGTTTGCATTTATCATTTAACATGACACAACAAACTTTCTTACACGCGACATTTTTTGGGACCCAAACTTTAAAAAAAAAAAAACTATGGCACGCAAAACGAATCTCTACAACATTATACAATCACTTATCCTACCACATAACTCTTATAAATTCTTATATAATTATTATTGAATCAATATTTTTCCTTTCTTTAATTTTTTTTTAATATTGTCTCTCTGAGTCTGAGCCAATAATAATTAGATAGATAATAAATTAATGATAATTTTCTTTTATAATAAAAATATCTTCCCTCGATAATAAAACAAGCAACATGTTCTCTCTTATTGGGCCAAAAGATTTCAGAAAACAGAGCCTGATGACCCAAAAAACACAGGCCAGGCCCAACGGCCAATGCCTAAATGCCACGCCTCATTCTTATGAAACCCTCACTTAAGCGAGGGTTAAAATAGACATTTCGTTTTGAGTCTCAGCAAAACCCTAGTGTCTATTATTATATATTCTCTTTTATGCTTTGCTCCTATCTTCCCCTGTAAACCCTAGTTTTTCGATTCTGCGAAAATGCCGCCGAAGCTCGATCCTTCGCAGGTTGTCGACGTCTACGTCCGAGTCACCGGCGGCGAGGTGGGCGCGGCGAGTTCACTCGCTCCGAAGATCGGTCCGCTCGGTCTGTCACCCAAAAAGATAGGAGAAGACATAGCGAAGGAGACTGCGAAGGACTGGAAGGGGTTGAGGGTGACGGTGAAGCTGACGGTGCAGAACCGTCAGGCGAAGGTGTCAGTGGTTCCATCTGCGGCTGCGCTGGTCATCAAGGCCTTGAAGGAGCCAGAAAGGGATCGCAAGAAGACGAAGAACATCAAGCACAGTGGCAACATATCGCTCGATGATGTGATCGAGATCGCTAGGGTTATGAGACCGAGGTCGATGGCAAAGGACCTTAGCGGCACCGTCAAAGAGATCCTTGGTACCTGCGTCTCTGTTGGCTGCACCGTCGATGGCAAGGATCCCAAGGATTTGCAACAGGAGATTACTGACGGAGATGTTGAAATCCCGCACGATTGAGTAGGTCTTCTTCTTTTTTGCGTAGTTTTTTTTTTCTTTATAAATTTTGGGAACTAGTTAATGTTGTGCTCGATTCGTTTACTTTTTTTGTTTGTTTGTTTGTAATTGAGTTGATTTTGAGGGATTTTATGTTGACGTTGCTTTCAACTTTACAAGGATAATATTATTTTTCTTTATGATTTTCAGAGATTATATAACCCCTTTAAATGTCCTTGTCTTTTGTTACATTAATATAGGTTGAGTTAGTTACTGGATGAATAGCTGAGCTTCTGTTTTGATTACATCAAATTCATGTGTTTTTGGGGGGTTTACTGTTGTTGGGAGGAACGAGTATTACACTATTACGTCTTAGTTTAAATAGTTCATTCTCCGGTGCAGTTAATTTATTTTTGTGCCTTTGCGTTTGTTGTATTTGTGTCAGTACTCAGTACTATGCTGCTTCTTGGTAGTTATCCACTCTCATTCAGTTGGAGTTTTCTGATACTCTGACTATCCACCACATTTTTGCTACTTTAGGAGTTGCCATTTAACTCAAAAGGTTATTGGATCGGGAAGCATTGCCAAATGCCAATGTCCTTAGAGGATTAAGGAACGTCCTCTTCAGAAAAATGATCAAAACCGGTGGTTGAGGTTTTGTATTACAGCAGTGTTGGGTATTCCAACCCGGAGAGAACAGGATACTCACGGGTGTAGGACTAAATTCATTTCCCTTTCAATTTACCGTAACTGGTTTGTGTGTACACTTGCTCATTAGAAAATGATTAGTAGCATTGACAGATATATTCCAATCTTCTTGCAAGCAATCGGAGTGTCTTTTGTGCCTTATTTGTTAATATGTATGAGGATTAAGTTTTTTCGATGATCCTTATGTGGGAGAGTATGTCTTTTTATTGGGACTGTCTTTTTTATAAGATATGTTTTCTTGCTACCTCAAATAGTAATCCCAACATCATCACGGAGGAAGGGTTTTTAATCTTTCAAGGAGAATCTCTAAGATTGGATTTATGTGTATTTTACTTATTATTCATGGGGGTTTGCATTTGTCATTTAACATGACACAACAAACTTTTCTACACACAATATTTTGGGCCCACACTTTTTGAAGAAAAAAGAAAACGAAAATTACGGCACGCAAAACAAATCTCTATAACATTATACCATCATTTTTCCTACAACATAATTCTTATAAAACTCTTATTTATGGTACATATAAATTTAATGATGGAGATATTCTTAGTGCTACATGATCAGAATTAGCTAAATTTTTTTACCGAGTTTAGTTAGATACGTGTTAATGAAGCAACAATTTTATTCCTGTACCTCATTTTCTATACTTTCACTCTTCATTTCCTTTTCATAGAAAATAGGATGAGAGCGATTCATTTTTTCCTTGTCGCTTTTTCGTATAAACGAAAGATATAGAATATGACCGTAGTCCGTAGAATATGGATCGTAAGAATAACACTTTTTTAAATCTAAGGGGAAGTAAGCCAACTGCTCAAGTTTCTTGATTTTGGGATTTTGATGTCGATTTTTAGAAAAAATTGTAACGAAAACCATTTTTGGATTTTTACTCTAATCTATGTTATAACTCTGCAATTTTTTGATTCAATATTCACTCCTTATTTGCTTGTTGCAATGATAACCTACAAAATTAATGCTCAAATTGGCTTTATGAATGAAGGCCTGGTACTTGTTGGGCTGTTGTTTGAAATCTGGTTATGATGGCTGAGGGTTAATGCAAGGTGAGATAGACTGGGCCCAAATCGCTTGTTGGGTTGATGTTTGTTAATCATGCATTGTTAAGATAGAGAAGAAAGGAATGTAAAAGATACTGGAAAGAATAGAAAAGTAAGAAAGAGAGAAGTGGTGAGGTTATTATTTTTTTAAGTATATCTAATGAATAAAGTATTTATTTTTCCTTCGGCTTTATAAAAAAATATAAATGTATATCAGTATAATTCACAAAATTACTTCCCTTTCTCTTCTTTCATATTCGGTTTTCCTTTACTTTTTTGGGAAAAGCATCAATGTATTGTTCTTTATTTTTTGTTTCGAAACCATCAGCTACCAAAATTTGCTCGTGGTTTTCTCCCTGCCCTCTCATTACCTCCATTTGTTCCGTAGTTTCCTCTTCTCCTTTGGTTTATAACCGCAACCTCAACCACTTTGCGTGTGAATATATAGCTCTTAATTTCTCATTGCTGATTCATTCAGTCAGTCAATAGCTTTTGCTAAATATCTCCCTGAGAAAATTTCGAATTGGCTTTTCTTGAGTCCCTCTTTTCGTTCGGTTTTCTCTCTCTGTGTTTCATTGAGGGACATAGAGAGAGTGAGAGAGAGAGTGAGAGAGAGATCAATATACAATAATAAAAGCTTCCGTAACTCCAAGTCATAGCCATCAAGCCTCACATTAACATTCTTTGGGTTGAGGTTGCAATGGCAAGAGAGCTCAGGCACACGATGAAGCCCTGGATTGAGGTTGCACCTTCACTTCTGGATTTCCCTTGGAAGCCCTCCAATGCTCCCAAGCTAGAGACCATCTTGGAAGACAGAGCTGAAGAATTCGATGGTGAAGAAGACCTTATAATATTAGGAAAGGGTAGGCTTTGTATTCTTGAAAGCCAAGCAACGCCCTAAGGCAGTGCCTAATACCCATATACCTTGCGTCCATATTCCGTAAATGAATAGGGAGACGTCACTTAGAACAATTCTAGCGCCAGATAGGAATTTGTCAGAGATAATTTATTTATAGATGTCATTATCTCTGTCTCTGATATGATTATTCGTCACATATAGTTAAATTTGTACATACTACCTTTATTCCCGTACCAGTGAAACAATACTAAGCAACTCAGATTTGGGTGTGCTTTCTACTTGTGATAATCTCTATCATTTAAGTTAAAACTCTTGTTTTTTATGTTTTACACCTTTTATCTAATTCAGTGGGATAATAATTGCTTCGATACTTTCTAAACTATACATTTCCGCTTGATGACCACTCTAAACAAAAGAGTCTTGGAACCTACTAGTGTTTGTATCTAACTGTCTTAGAAGATAGTTCGAGTTTCACAATAAAGAGTAGTGACATCTCCATCTTTTGTCAAAAAAAAAAAAAAAGTAGTTTCACAATTAATTCACTCAACAACATAACATTTTATAACATAACTTTTTAGGTTGAATTAGCTATTTACAATTATTATGAAAAATTTACCGTCTTAATGTATATGTTATAATTTGATTATTAGGGATGATAAAGGAGAAACCATCAATCTTAACTGCACTGGTTTAGGAGAGGATCACCCATTGTGTTGGAATCATAGTTTCATATAGAAAGGCATGGTATGCGAAGAAGAAAACAATTGCAATGATATATGGTGATTGGGAGGAGTCTTATCCATTTTTGCCCTGTTGGTGTGAATATATGATTCGCTTTTCACCAGGTTCTGTTTATCATTTTCAAACAAATGATTATTTTGTGACCACGACTGGTACGAGAAAAATGCATATTTCATCGCATTTTTAGGACTTTCAAACAATGATGTGAGACTTTCAAATTTTGCAAACCAGTTATTCAAATTGATGACACTCATTTATATGGAAAGTACAAAAGAAAATTATTGATTGCCACGGCTTAAGATGGAAATAATAAATGTTTGCCACTTGCATTTGCCTTTTTTAAGCAGATGCAAAATATGTGTCATTTCGAATTGGTACCATAGTATATTATCTGCTGTGGAGAATCACCATGGTGGCAGCCACCACATACGCATCATGTGTTTTGCCTTTGTCATATTGCTAGATATTTTAATCAAAGGTTCATAAATGATAAATTAAAGAAGGCAGTCATGAATTTAGGTATAGTTAACAAATCTTATCTTCAATTTTTCAGTATTAATGAATTTTATTGTAAATAATTATCTTGGGTGCAGGTTATACTCCTTCAGTGGTGGATGTTGAGATAGCCTATGCACGATTTCTTGATACGAGTCATTAGGTTGTGGAGTGGATTGATAGCATCCCCAAGGAAAAGTGGACATGTACATAGAATGTAGATGGGCGAAGATATGTGCATATGACAAGAAACTTGTCTGATTTAGTAAACAGTGTATTAAAGGTGGCAAGAAACATGCCAATAACTACTCTGGTTAAGAACATATACAAGAGTTTGGTTCATTACTTTGTTAGTAGGGGTCAAGCATCTGCTTCGCAACTTCAATCTTCTCATCATCTTTGCAAAAATATGGTTGATTCCTTGAAGCATAATGAGTCCCTTGCTACAGGACATCATGTTCGTACATATAAGGTTGAACAAACAGTATTTGAGGTTGACGAGGGTTATGAGAGGTCATATTCTGTCATCCTTCCAGAGCGTTTCTGTCAATGTGGAAAGTTTAAGGACCTCAAATACCCATGTAGTCATGCCGCAACGATTGCTTTACATGTTCGTCAAAATCCTTTTCAATATGTGGATGACGTATTCCGGAAAACTAACCTGGTTCGAGCGTACTCATTTCCATGGCAGCCAATTGGTAATGAGCAAGTTATTCCACCCAGTGCAGATCTAGTGCTCATACCTGATAAATCTATGTTGTGTGCGAAGGGTCATCTAAAGTCAACTAGAACACGTAACGAGATAGATGAAGCTAAAAGCAGTCAAAGGCACATTATGTAAGGTATTTGCAAGTAACCTGGACATAATCGCAGAAATTGTCTGAATCGTGGAGCTAACCAATGATTATGATTGGGAATTAATGTAACAAATTTTTTGTGAAATTATTTTATATCCATCCATGTTGCATGATCCATGTCTTTGGTTATTAATGTATTAACTCTATTGGTTTCTATAAAAAAGAAGAAGTCATAAATATTAGATAGTCCTTGTACATAAAGAAAATCATGAAAAAAAAACAAAAAGGTCCATAAATAAAGTATAGTCTATAACGTATATAAAGTGTCCATAAATATAATATAGTCTATAATAATAAATACAAATAAAATCTATGGCGGAGGAGACCACTATTGATGACGCGCTTGACGACCGTGCCCGCGAAAAGACTATGTAGGAAGGTCTGGGGTGGAGTTGGACTTGGAGCTAGTGCTGGAATTTCAAAATCAAATGTCGCTTGTAAAAAATCATGTGTTTCTATACCTTGCTGGATGAGAGATGACGTCGAAGCATCGTACGAAGCTTGGGTTGCCTCCGCCAGATGCTCTGAAGGCCACTCCCCAAGGACGTCACCCTCAAAATCTAAACGACTGCAGAAATCGTCAACATCATCGTGAGACCACGAAAGAAGCTCGTGACTATTGCTCTCTGCGTGAGTGGACGACTCGTGCCTGGATGCCATAGCCACTAGATTGACGTGATGCACCGACTGGCTCTATGAGTCCACCAATGGATGCATAGCAGCTTGACTAGTGAACATATGATCTGGCAGGTCCTTCTGTTGTTGTGGTTTATAATACACGGACTGCGTGCCGTATGTATGACTTATCACTAGAGGCCTAAACCATCCAGCTGTGCGCGGCTTGGGTCCATGAATAGGCTCTGATACTGGTCGTATCGGTTGCCGACGATGTCTTAACCCGTGTCCCTGCTATCTACGACTTCGAAATGTATATAGACAACTAGGGCTCATCCTGAAGTTGAGATGGGGGTGCATGTGGTCCTGCCTCCTCCACCCGAGGTGTCTTTCTGAAAATTGCTATAATACGACCAATCTCCTTATAAACCTACACCCAAGAGTACCCCCGCGAAGTGCTCAGAAGTGGTCGCGAAGTAGAACATCTCCATGCTATCAATCTTAACTCACAACATAAATACATAAGCCAAAAAAAAAACACATAGTAATAATAACTAAAAAATAACTTACACTGCGTCCAAGCTTCGTAGCCATCTTCATCAGCACTTGCCTCTTATCCTGTTCTAATGCATGTACTTTTGGTTGGGAGACATTAGGCCATCCAATTGAGGGGGAACCTCTATGTGTTGCTCCATAATCTCCCATCTATGTATAAATTGCCTCAACTTACGAACCCAATTATCATCTTTTTTACCTCAAAGAGTATGGTCATGGACACTTCTTAACTTTCTAGGCCTACATGGTATTAGTTGATCCTTGCCGAACAGTCACATGCATTTTTCGGATGGCAATATTCAACTGTGTGAAAATAGATAACCGGAGTCCTGTCCATCCATAAATACTGCTCACGATCAGATGCATGAAAGAAATTGTAGTCTCCATATGGTTCCCAAACCACCATCCACATAAAATAAATAAACATACAGGCAGTTACTGGAGTATGTAATCACTTTTTGAAATTTGAAAAATAGATAACATACCTTATACTTACATAGCTTGTCTAATATGTACCGATTCCACAAATTTAGATAACATACCTTAACCCATGTGGTCTGAAGCGGGATAAAGTATTAAACTTGATTTACAAATTTAAGATAAACATTGATTATAATACTCGTAAAAAGATACCGAATCTAGAAATACAAAACACACACACTATTATCCTAGTGCCACTTCGGGTGTGTAGGAAGAGGAAGTGGGGGAACAATGAGTGGGAAACTGAGCCACGTCCAGATCTGAAGCAAAATGTTGCATCCACCAATATCTGATATGGCCGGGTTTGTATATTCGCGCATCTGTTTGAACAAATGTGCGAGAATCACAGACCCCCAACTATATCTGCCAATCTCCTCAAAGTCCCCTACAAGCAACGGAATAAAGCACATGAAATTGTGCTACCCCCGATCTGTCGCACAACAGCCATGCTTCTGATATATGTGCAATGTGCGTCTTAGTGTAAAAAACCATCGGCTTGGAATGTGCAACAACCGGACCTCATTGCATATACAGTCTATCAAAGTACGAAACCGTAGATTTCCATCTTTGAGCTCAGTGGCCTCATCAGGAATATGACCAAAAACCTTGTCACACATGGCCGCTTAATCCAAAGAGGTAGCTTCGTAAACTACTGGCCTATCAATAGGCAATCCCAGGATAGTCGCCACGTCTTGCAAGGTAATTGTCATGTCGCCCCACATCATGTGAAAGGTGTGAGTCTATGGTCTCCACCTCTCGACCAAAGCACTAATAAGGGTATGATCAATCAGAAATACATAAGACAATTATCAATTCATATGTGAACGATACACTAATTTTCAAATATTATATTTAAACACAATATAGTATATTACATTGTAAAATGTAGACCTGAATATGTCGCATGCGTGTGACATATATGAATCTGACACGTGTAAGGTACTTTGCGACCACATCTGGAATGTTGTCAGGAGTTGGCCCCCTACAGTCGTTTGCGTTGAGTCTTTAGCGCTCGAATCTGGTTCTCATTCCACACGGCTTGTGAAATGCGTATGAGCTGTATTTGCCTACGGAGGATGTTCCACATGTATGGTGTAGGAAGAACATGTGTGGTGGGATCAATAGGCTCAAACTCGTGGTCGGATAAAGACCGAGGAGATTCAGTTGATGTCAACTCAGCCATATCAATACACTTTAAAAAAATTACAAATTAATTGCTATAATTAATTTAATTTCAAATAATTTACATGCCTAGTACAAGATTTAAAAAAATTAAATAACAAATATTTTTTTTTTCAATTTTAATAGCATCACTAAGTATAATATATTCATCATTTATCCCCTAATTCACTACACAAAAGAAATTAGACTAACTATTATCAAAATTAATAGCCATCTTCAAAGTATGTATGCATACTCTAATTTATTAAGCATGAATAAAATTCCCTATCCATATATTATATGTTATTATAATTCTCCTTAGTTACTAATTATAACCTAAGTCACTAAGCATGTTATAAATCACTAACCATGCTGCAGAAGAATATCTTAGGTTACTAACAATTTTCTAAGTCACTAGTATAACATATCTATTGCTGTAATTTAATAATATAAAAAATAGATATTAAGACTTACTTATCTGATAGAGCTTCGTGCGCAAAAAAACTAATGGAGAAATCTAGAAAGAAATCAGAGAAAAGTTTTAGAGAAAAGATAGAGAGATGATATGAAATGAAAAAGTGAAAAAATGGGATTTATATAGGGCTTCTACCTCTCACCCAATTTGGGTGTGTTTTGTGTCACCTTTTTTTAATCGTGTTTGGTCATGTTTTTTTTAGACGTGTTTTCTCTCTATTGCGCCCAATTTGGGCGAGTTATCACACCCATTTTAAGCATGACTTAATGTAATAGATTCTTAAATTGGTTCTAAAATATTATGTTTTTATAGTTTTTTATTTAAAATATAATATTTTAAATTTTTTTTCCTCAATCTTTTAGTGAACAGGATGTCAGCGTACGTACTAGTTAAAGTTTATTCTAGATGTATCAAAAAAAAAAAAAAGGAAAAGAAAGAAAGTTTATCCTTGGCTTGGTATACGTAAGATCCCAAGGAATTGGACAGCAACTACTGAATTTTTTTAAACGCTTGACCCTCGCTTATGAACAAATTAATCTGATTAACAAAAATTGTAAATGTTTAAACCCTAATACTTAGAATAACAAAACAATTATTGGGTGCCTCCAGCCGGTCATGATTATCCAGTAATAGATGACAGGCTGACATATTGAATGGGACCATAATAGTTAGTCGTCTTTACATAGATGATGGCATTGTATATATGCCATGGTCTTAATTTTCCAACCACTCTCCTGACATGGACAACGAATGTGCCATTGAAGAAATGCTTTTGAGCATAATTTTATTGGGAAAAAAAAAATATAAGGGGGAAATGATGATGATGACCATTATGATAATTGACATGTAGCCACCCACTTACTCTCGTATTTCAAATATCATGTGTACAGGTTAAGAATGAGTGAATTGTAATTGTGATATGAATGATATTGTGGCTGAGGAAGCACCATGTGTTAAACATTTGTACACCAAGTTTTTGTTGATTAAAACAAGGACGTTATTAATCTCATGTTAAAAAAGATAAGTTATCTCTTGACAAATATGTGAATCTCACCACCTGAAAAAAGAAAAAGGCTGCACAGTTATGAAAGAATATGTAAGATAGAACACTAATTAATTCCATGTAACATGAAAATAATTTTTTCTATAAAATAAATATTTGTTTGCATGTGTAAGATGAGAATGACCCTCTTCTGGTCGGTGGCTTCTTTCAAGGTTTTTGAATTTTAATAGTTTATCTTTGTGTTTTGGCTGCAGTTTCTTATGTATATTCCTTATTCTGACTTGACTGTTAAGTTCTTGACCATGGATTAAAGACAACTTAATCCTGTCTAATTATTCTTTTATTTTTTTACCAACGAGAATATCAAGAATTTCATTAACTGGAAAATGAATGAAGTAAATCAACAGAGGAATCACAAGTGAACCAGAGTATCCTCAATCCAAGTACAACCAGTTAATTGAAAAAACTATAGATTCTAATTCATAGCAGTTTTATTTACAGTCCCTGCGAACATGTGAAAAGGAAATTGTTATCGACCATTAACGTGTGCGTTAAATGAAGTTTATTCATGCTAGGGGTGGTAAAATTAGTCTACCTCGAAAATATAAAAAATGAGTTCTTGAATGGATCACAATCAGAGGTGGCAAAGCGGGCTGCCGGCGCCGCGCCGCGCCGCCCCAGCCCACCATAAGTCTGCCAAAAGTAGGCTAGTCCCCCTGTTCTGCCTTTGAAGATGGACTAGAAATTTTAACTCGTCTCGTTCTGTTTGGGCGGACGGAGCGGACTGTCCGCCAAGTCCGTGACATTTTACACTAAAATAAAAATAAAAAAAATCAACCAAGCAAGCTGACAGACTTGACAAGCAACAAATTTAAAAAATTCAGCCCGCTCCGTCCCATTTCAGGGCAGGACGGGTCGGCCCAGCGCATTGAACCCATTTTACGAGCTCTAATTGCAACAGAGAAGACAAGCTCAATATATGCATAGACTATTATTTTAATATATATATTTTAAAATAGAAATAATAGGAAAAAGTGATAAAGTCATCATGAGATATATATATGTGCTCTGCAAATAGGTACCTTCAATATTAATTTTGTTTTAATTAATCTAAAAAATAAGATAATGAGATTTTTTAATTAAAAAAATATGAATCGGTGATTGATATTTAATAGGATAATGACTTAGGATTTGTTCACCATTAGTAAGTTAACTCCAAGTCAATATAATTTATTATAACAATATTTGGAATTGAGGAATTAATTGGAATGAAGTTAAAGTTAGAAGTACTTATTTACAAAAAGTATAAATTTTTGCATGAACTTATGCGCATTTTCCAAAAAAAATATTTTATATACACTTACACCATGGCTTGTTATTGCTTGGTAAAAATATTTTTTAGAATATGTTAAATAGTATGAATATGTTTTTGCAAAATAAATTATACAAAAATTGTTACATTTTATCATTTATTAATTTAATATTTAAATATTACTTTTTGTTCCTTCCAATCTATAACTAGTTACTAAATGTCTAAATAACATGACCACTTCTGTCTAAAAGTTTTTTTTTTGGGTTGAATATTGTTTAAATTTTTTGATACTAAATAACATGACTGTAACATTTATCATACATATACAATAACACGTAAGTGAATCAGTTATATAAAATGTTAAATTTTTTTCAGAGTGTGAAAAAAGAAACAATTTTTGATGTATTGATACTTGAAATTTGATTTAAAAACTCTTTGTAGGTCTCCCCAGCCACCCATCTCTCTCTCTCTTTTATTTCTTTTTCTTCTTAGAAATATTTTATAACAAATCGTCGGATAAGACAGCAATAAATTTACGGGAAACTTCGAATATTCTTTATTTTATTGTTTAAACCTTTTCTTTTTTGTTGGAGAATCGAAGTACAAACAGATACAGAAAATATAATATTAGAACAGGATTCGGAATACCAAATTGAAAATAGTAATAATCATTTAAAACTTTGCGCAATTAGTTACAAATATTGGTCTCATAATTGGGGCGAGGATAATTTGAAACCCCCATTGATTCTAAACCTATTTGATTTTAGGTGCGTCCAGATAAGTTCACCTGGCAAGCCAGCATCACCCAACAAAAGTGACAACGACTTTTCCTTTTTTTAATCACATTAAATAATTATAGTCCTACTGAAAACAATGATTGATAGCCAGGTTTCTTTTGTTTCTTAGTATAATATATCTGAATTTTTTTTTATATTTTTTCGAGAAAGATTATATTTATAATTTATTTTTATTATAATTTTTTATAATTATATTTTAATCGTTAATTTTTATCAATTAACGATTATTATTTATTGTGAATTAATAATTAATTAATAAATTTAATTTATGAAAATAATAATCATTGATTAATGAAAATCAACCGTTAAAATATAATTATAAGAAGTTATAAAAGAAAATAAGTTATAAATATAAATTTTTATTTTATGTTAATATTTTCTTTAGAAATGGTAAATTCCATGTGGATGAAAGATAACTCTACGTACATCCATTTGAAAAAAGAAAAGAAATAAACAGAGCCTACAGAACTCCGACTTTCTATGTGACATGAAATTATATGACATTAAAGTTATGTGTCTTAGATTTATTTACATGATGAACTTTAATAAATTTATGTAAAAATTAATGTTTAATAGATTTAATTTATCTAAAAATCTCTCCAAAATCAGCGACAGATAAGCAAACAGACCGTTGTTTTGCTTGGTGCATATATAACTTGCGTATCCAATTTATATTTTACAAGCAATTTATTTCCATCTTCTCCTATTGGCCATAACCACATGTTACCGTTGAATTATAGAGCCTTTTCAGGTCCCACAGAAACAAAATATATAATATATGTAAAGAGATTCTATTTTCTTATGTCGTTGGAGATAGTTATTTCCTACTATATACATATGATGTGGTGAAGCCTACTATTTATTAAAAAAAACGAAAAAGAAAAATGATGGCACAATTTTTTATGTGAGACAACATGAGAGAGTTATCTTATGTAAAATGAGATAATGATTTTCCATATGTAAAAAGAAAAGAAAAAAATATTCTCATGTTACATTAGATAAATTTTTTCTTTTATACATCTTTGATAACTGTGCTATTTTGTTTAGACAGTGAAACCCATAAATTTATCTTTATAATATGAGATAACTTATTTCCTTTAACGTAAGATTAATAAAATCCAAAAATAGAAAAAACCTAAATACATAAAAGAAACATCGAGAAAATATATGTAAGGGATTAAGAGTTGTTAGGACTTAGGAGGGTAGAGTATAGCCACATCGTGGGACCATGCAAGCGAAATCAAGCTAATAAGGGCGGCAAAAAAAAGAAAAACACAATTACGTTAATGATAATCATGTCATTGTTTATACATACGTACATACAAAAACTTGCAATTAATTATTAAATTCGACACATTAGTACTTCGCTTTCTTCAGTTCCTTAAATACCATCTTTCTCCTCAACCCCTCAATGTACACAGAGTACTAGTAGCTAGCTAGCTAGGCGCAGCCATCAATTATTCATCTCTTCCATAGAGGGAAAAAAAGAAAAAAAAATGGCGAAAGACGACGTTGAGGTTGCAGAGCAAGTTGAATACTCAGCAAAGGACTATCATGACCCTCCTCCAGCAGCGTTGTTTGACCCTGAGGAGCTGACAAAGTGGTCTTTGTATAGAGCTGTAATAGCAGAGTTCATAGCAACCCTTCTTTTCCTTTACATCACCGTGTTAACCATTATTGGTTACAATAGACAGACAGATCCCAATATTCCAGATTCCCAATGTGAGGGGGTTGGTGTTTTGGGCATAGCTTGGGCCTTTGGTGGCATGATCTTCATCCTTGTTTACTGCACCGCCGGTATCTCTGGTTAGTATATATATATATATATAATTATAACCTATGATAGAAAACATTAGTTAAAAAATGTTTTTTTTCTTCTTCAATTTTATACATATATGATATATGTAAGTGTTATTTATATATATTAATTTGGTATATTGCAGGAGGACACATAAACCCTGCAGTGACTTTTGGGTTGTTCCTAGGACGCAAGGTGTCGCTGGTAAGGGCGTTACTGTACATGATAGCACAGTGTTTAGGTGCAATCTGTGGTGCTGGACTTGCTAAGGGTTTTCAAAAAGGATACTATGTGAGGTATGGTGGTGGGGTTAATCTTGTGCAAGGAGGGTATACCAAAGGTACAGCTTTGGGTGCTGAGATAATTGGTACCTTTGTTCTTGTCTACACTGTCTTTTCTGCCACTGATCCTAAGAGGAGCGCTAGAGACTCTCATGTTCCTGTAAGCATTAACTAATTAATTAATTAACCATATATACCCTTTATTTTTTTATGTTTGTGTTTTTGGTTCACTTTACTTATTCATATGCTTTCTTTGTGTGAACTTTGAAATAATAATAAAAGGTATTGGCACCACTTCCTATTGGATTTGCTGTTTTCATGGTTCACTTGGCTACAATCCCTGTTACTGGTACTGGCATCAACCCTGCAAGGAGTTTTGGACCAGCTGTGATCTTCAACCAGGACAAGGCTTGGGATGACCAAGTAATTTTTTTATTTTATTTTTATTTAATGATGGACACAACATATTTAAATGAGGTTATAATATTGTTAACACAAATTTTGGTGATTGTTTTTCAGTGGATTTACTGGGTTGGACCATTTGTTGGAGCTGCAGTAGCTGCTTTCTACCACCAATATATTCTTAGAGCTGCAGCTATCAAAGCTCTTGGATCATTCAGGAGCAACGCTTAATCAAGCTAGCTTCGCCTCAATTATGACTTGTCCTATGAGGGCTGTGGTGGTGTCCCCACAAAAAAATAACAGTTCAGTACTGAGTAGTTCAAGTCTATCTAATGGTCCCAGTTAGAGTTTTGGCCTCTTCCTTTTGGGTTTCGTGCGTGCTTAGCTGTGGAATTGGGGAAAAGGCCAAATACCAATGTTGTAGATAAGCATGCGTGTGTGCAAGGGTGTATTTGTATCCCTCTTCTTTTGTCTTTTCTCTCACTCTTTTTCTAAGTATTGGTCAATATTTTTCATTTTACCTATTTCTTTGTAAGTGGTGTACATGTACATGTACTTTCCATCATCTTCTGCTTCCTCATAAAACTTAATGGTAATTTCCTGTGTTCTAAAAGCTTTGTCATCCACCTTTACTTCGGTAATTAAACTTCCACAAGTAATTATTAATGTAAATCCTTTCATAGATGTGATTTAGCTTACTCTAGTATAATGAAAAATCACTTATAAGTAGCCTTCCTCTTTGACCATTCTTCAAATGGTATTCTATTCTATTTTTGAAAGGCTTGAACTTAACATACATACATCTATGGAAGAAAACATATATATATCCTTTATTCTTATTTTGATCTTGGGGCAGATAGGCGTGAGTAGAAAGATAGCAATTTCTTCTGTTGCACAAAGGAAAGTACTGAGGGAAAACACAACTAATCAATAATAGGGGAAAATAATTCTTACGTGACTGCAGAAGGGAAAATTTGCAGCAACACAAGATACGCGTCCGAATCCTGGATTTTTTTTGTTTTTTTTGTTTTGATAGGATCCACACGTGTATCCTAGGATCCGCACGTGTATCTTAGTGTTAAAAATTTGCTGCAACTTTTCTCATCAGCAGCCACATGAAAAGCGACAAACCCTTAATAATAATACTATATGGGTCAGGTTATATTTATAAATTTTTTTGTTTACAAACTACACTAAGTACGACCGGTCATACTTTAATCATGCAGTATACGATCGGTCGTACTTAGTGTAATTTGTAAAAAAAAATTGTAAACGGATCCTATCTTATACTGTATAGTTTTTCCTTGAAATTTTGCAATGCTCAAGAAGCAGGCCTGTTGCGTGTTTAGTTTTGATTAGATTTTATTATATTCTATCTTAAATATAATATAAGATAATCCGACTACATAATTTAATTTTTAAACTTTCTTTAATTTTCTCTCGCATCTTTCAGAATTAGGTAAGTTTTATCCTTCATCATAGCATCTTAGGCTTGAAAACGGAAAATGACAGACAAAAGTAAGTGGCTTTTCCAATGGACAAAAAATGCTGTGCTTTCACTATTAAGCTGACAGTAAATTTGTAACAAAAAGCTTCTTGAACCTTCAAATTAATTGACCTGTTAACCCCCCCTCTTCCCCCAAAGAAACAAACATCACTCTCTCTGTAATGAATTTCTGTTAGGATGCTTATCCTAATAATGTATTCAAATATTGCGAAGAGTAATAGTGAAGTTAAGAGCCATAATAACTAAATTATCTGACTCAGCTTTTGTGTTGGTGGTATTGAACATGAGATGAAGTTGTGGATTTCTTAAATCGTTGTCCGTGATTGCTAGGGACACAATAATATAGTATGGAAGAAAAAAAATATAGAAAAAAAAATACTAAACACGTTAGGTGGATAATTCAAGATTCCTTAGTTTTGTGCCCCATTTTTTTAATTAATATAAGAAATTGGTGAGCTAATGTACTTATCTTCAGTATATTTTAAGCTTCTCTGGTATTTTGTGCCCATTTTCTATGTATCCAATTAGGTGTGCTTTATTTGATTTATTTACGGTCACAATTGATTAATTAAGCATGGCATATTGAAGTTGGGGGTGGAGTGATAAGGGAAGGAGCACTCCTTGTCATAATATCATTGGTAATTGATTTCTTCATCATTTGAGTATTTATGAAACTTGTAATCATCTTATACTTAAAACATAAATTATAAATCATTAGGTAAAGAAGAGCTGTCCTTGGCGCTTTCGCTCTCTTTTCTGACGGGGACTAAGGCATCTCTATATTTTGAACAGTATTTTTAAATTTTATAATAGTATGATTTTTTTTATTTTTTTATTTTTTATATACAAATAGTATGACGTTTAGATATACTGAAATCAGAAATGTAATATTTGTTCGGGATCCTCATAATGAATTTTACAAGTCTGATACAATATTTAGCTTTATCCATTAAAGGTAAATATTTTATATATAAATAAAAGATTAAACCTGATAAGTATACATTTCTGAAACTCCACTTTCTTTATTATTGTACACACACCACTCTTTCTTGGCTTCAAGTCTCAATTGCTCACAATAATTTGTCACCCCTTGCGACCATCTCTTTTATGGACTCTGCTAACTTTCAAATCCCATATTAATCACGATCCTCTTGGGTCAAACAATATTCAACTTCAAGGGTTGACTCAAGTGGCAATGTAAATTTAGAGATTGACAAATTGCCAAAAGAGTAACTTTGAATCCCTGGAAAAGACCTTTGGGGTCAGAGCTAGATAATTGTCGCACCATTTGACTTGAAATTAATTTTATATTTGTGCAGACCTTTTTCCCATCTGGTTGCAAAGATATATCGGAAACCGACTCACCCCAGATGAGTAATTATGTTAGGATAATGGAATAAAAAATATAATACTCTACATTTTAGTTGTGTACAACGATATAAATTAGTTTAATTCGTTTCCCTTAATTAGAGATCTCATTCTCATTCGAGTATGGGGAAGAAAGAAAATAGTGTTGCTACAGTCACCAATATAGGTTCGACAATTCTTGAACCAAATTAAACCAATTTGGATAAAAAAAAAATGTATAGGAAATACCGAGTAAAAAAAGAGGAGAATACCACACACAATAATTTGTGTATGAACATGTCTCAATTAACTTTAATTAATTATATATAAGATAATACTAAAACCATTTTGAAGAGAATTTTACCATATTTTTTTAATTATTATATTAATATAACTTAAGTTTTTAATTAATTATGGCTAACCAACAATGTCTTAGCTCACAGAACAATAGATGTTGATTGTTTGCCGCATATTCTCTTCTCCGCCGGATATCCGTGGCTGAGGATTATGAAGGTGGATGGATCATTTTAGACTTTTTTTATAAAACAGTCATAGTCAAATGCTGCTGGATAAGTATATGAGAAAAAGCAATAATTAGTTAGGGTCATTTGTGTGTGTCTATATATATGTATATATAAATTGTTTATTTTTTTTGTAATAATTAGTTCAAATTTTAAAAAAAATATAAAAAACAGTTTTATACTTTTCTCATGAAATAAAAAAATATTCTTGAAAAACTATATTATAAACTTTTGTCATAAGTTTATTTACAGACACTCTTAATAAAGTATAAGTCCGTAATAATCATATTAAGCCCATGTTTTCATTAGGAAGTCTCTTGAAACGGTAGAGTAATATGGGTTATGACTTCTCGAAATTCAGGCCCATAACAAGTTTTAATGGCATGGTGCTAAAGAGTTATCCTGTGCATTTGTTTCATGATTAAACACAATTTTACAAAGGTGTTTGCATTTGTCATTTAAACACAATAAAATTCCTACACACACAATATTTTGTGGGGCCCACACTTTTTGAAAAAAAAAAAAACTACGGCACGCAAAACGAATCTCTATAACATTACACAATCATTTTTCCTACAACATAACTCTTATAAAACCTTTTTACAAAAGATTCCTCATGTCAATTGATCTATTATCTCTCATATTTTAGATATAATAAGAGATGGGCCCATCATTTGCTAAAAAAACAAGAAAAAAAATAACATGGATTTAGTGCCTCACAATATGAAAAAGTAATCTCATGTTGCATGAGAAAATAATTTTCTTTTACAAATTTAGATATAATTATGGGTTCATTCTTTCTGCAGTTACTGCAGATAAGTTATCTGCAGTAAGTCCAATACGACGTCGTTTTGGGGTGGAAATCATAGTATTTTTGTAATTTTAATTTATTTCAGGGTTATAATAATCTTTATATTTATATTTTTTAGATTTCAATACCAAAATGACGATATTTTGAGAATAAATGCAGATAACTTATCTGCATTAACTGCAGAAATATTTTTCGTATGTATACGGGCTATTTGACACAACAAGTTGGGCCTAGACAAATTTTGGGTCGTGACCGAAAATTCCCCTATAGAACTTTAGTTTAGAGTCAAGGCCAGATCAAGCTGAAAAATCCAATTGATAATGATTTTCCTTTTTATTTTTAAATTGCATTTTGATAAGATTTTAAAAATATTTTTTAGAAGTTACTATTTTTTTATTCAAATAAAATTACAAATTAGTTTATAAATTTTTATAAAATATAATCGAATTATTATAAAACTTTTAAACATATTTTTTAGTTAAAAATTCTTAAAAAATACAAAGAAACGAGCCATAGTTCAAACAGAGGATGCCGACGCCGACTTTTGCCACGCCTAATTCGCGTAAGGTTCATGTATATATATATATATATATATATATATATATATATTTTAAAAAATACTTTTATCGATTTGGTTGAAGTTGAGTAGGTGTAGGCTATGTAGCACCGATACCGATACGAAACATGTGACACGATACGACACTCCGACACGTTAATTCTAAAAATTTTTAGATTCGACATGTTAGGACACATTGTGATATTAAATAATAATTTTTGTTTATGTAGTGTATATTTTATTTAATATTCAATAATTTAACAAAAAATGAAGTTAAACTTATAATACCCATCAATTTTGTAAAGAAACATAAAATATCTCAAATATTTATATTAAACTCAATAAAATTACAATCGTAATCTAACGAATCTATTAGTTGGAACTAAAAATATAATGCAATGCAACCTTTGAATCATTTTTTGAGTTTCTACAATGCGTGTTGGAGTGTCGGAGAGTGTCGGGAAGTGTCGGACACGACACGTCACTTTGAAGTGTCGGTGCTTCGTAGGGTGTAGGAGTACGACTATAAGAATAATAAAGTTTTACCTATTAAGTTTTTGTCAACTCTTACCAATTGTTCTACGTATTTGGTTGTAGGAATATATATTATTTTTTTACGTTAGATTTTTATATGCAAAGTTATATTAGCTGAGTTAGTGAGGTTGGATATGTGTTCGATTCCTGCTGAATGCATTCTTGGGGAGGGGGCTGAACCTTTAGCCATCACTGTTCCCCCGCACTCCGGATTAGTCCCATAGCTGGCTCAAAGAGTCGAAGCTCGTGGGGATACCGGAGGGAGCCAATTCGTCTCAAAGAGATAATTAGGGTTGGGTAACTCTAAAAAAAAAAGTTATATGAGCTGAGAAATAAT